TCTACCTATCTTGTTTCTCTAATTTTTTTAAGACCTCTATTCCCCCTTTTAAAATTAACAATCTTGTATATATATATGTGTGTGTGTATGCATTGCGAACCGTGGTGTCTGTCTCCCGTTTGAAAAGTTGTGCACGCAGATAAAACTCAGCATTCACCTTTGAAATGACGGGAGAAGAGGCATGAATAATGTTGATGCCACATTTTATTTCGCAAGCAGGATATTCTAGACTAAGTTGTTAGGAATTATTCACACTATCATTCACATTTCAAAATGTGACGTAACTTAAAGAATAAAACTGTAGATTTACCGTATTTTATTGTTGAGCGGCTCTTAGCGTGACTGAAATGCTCAACAATTACTTTACGTAGTGGGTGGTACAAGTAGCTCAGAGATTTGGATCTGAGTGAAACCAAGAGTGTAACACAGTTAATATTTTTAAAGTCTATGAAATAATTTAAATTAATATATGAACTTAAACTTTTTCCGTCACTGGGGACGGGTACTTTTGTTAGATTAACTTAAACTTTTCCCGTCACTGGGGGCGGGTACTTTTGGTTGTTTTTAATAATCTTGCTTCTTTAGGTTTTTTTTTTTGTCTATTAATGAAATAAATCTGTATAATAGCAATACTGTCCTATTTGAAACAGTTTAATTTAATGAAATACGTAGTTGGTTTATAATGGTTCTCTCGGGAAACAACGACAATCTTTGGATTGGCTTCATGTAGATTGGATGGCTATTACTCCTGATATCACTGCCACAATGTTATCATTGATAGTGGTACTGTATGTATTATCACTATGATGCATGGTGACAAACATATCACATGTTATGTATATGCCTGTAAATATATGTAGCTACTATATTTATACCCTGTAGCTATATGAGGAGTCTGTAAACACTGGATTGAAGGACTACTGAATTATACTGGTTTGATGCATGGACTGTATTTTGTAACCGCATCGGTTTTATACATGCATGTTGACTTGTATTTATATATATATACATACATACATACAGGCTTTATAGACTTTTTAAGTATAAAGCCGTATGTATAGATAAACATATGAATTTTTCAAGTTTGTTTGTTTGAATTTCGCGCCAAGCTACACGAGGGCTATCTGCGCTAGCCGTCCCTAATTTAGCAGTGTAATACTGGAGGGAAGGCAGCTAGTCATCACCACCCAACGCCAACTCTTGGGCTAATCTTTTACCAACAAGTAGTGTGATTGACCG